TTCAGGGGCACTGGGAGCATGGCTGGTGCACATCTCAGCCTGGCCTTGCAGAGCCCAGCAGATCCCAGCCTGCCCCCTGTCCCCTTGAGGGGATGGGGGATGATTAGGATGGTCTTGGGGTAGACAGTCCCAAGCATCATCCCTAAACAGCTGCTTTCATCCTCCAGGAGCTCTTCAGTGCAGAATGAGGAGAGGGCCTGCTCTCCAAGGAAGACAGCTTGGCACTTGTAGGGATTTTCAATTCTCAAGGAAGCTGGAAGTCAACTGGCTGGAGCAGAAGAGCTAATAATTGAGTGAGTCATTCCCCCTCCCAAAGCTGAAATATTAAACCAGTTTTTTTATGAAAGGCAAATTAAATCCCACAAGTCAGAGCCAAGAAAAGAGAATTTATCAAAGAGCAGAAGATGCCACTGTGGGACTTGCAGGCAGACAGAGGGAGCATTTGCTCAGCAGCCCAGGATATTACATCTCCTGTGCCTCTCCTCCAATGTGAGGAGCACTGCCATTCATCTATTTTTAATAACAATGACGCAGGCAGTGAACCTGACTTCAAGGCTGGAATATCATCTTCTTCCCTCTGCATATCTGTCCTGACTCATCTTCTGTTCCAAGAGCTCTCCACAGCTTGGTAGCCCAGCAAAGGAAGAAAGGAAGAACAGAATTGAAAAAAAAAACCCAAAAAACGTGGATCAGAGAGCAAAGCATAAGAGTTAGAGACTCATTCTGGGCAGGGAACAATTAGCACTGTGACTTCACTGGCTCAGGGAGCCAGGGAAAATTAAGGGTCTGGGGAACCTAAATGTATCTGGGGACAGGCTGATCAGGGAGTGGGATCTCTCAGAGAGCTGAGCAGGGATCTGGTAGCATCTGGGTACTTGTAGGTCTTGCAGCTCTGCAAAAAGGGCTGGAGAAAGCAGGAGCAGAGCTAAAGGTGCCCAGGCCTGGGGTGGCTGGTGGGGGGGACAAGCTGAAGTGCCCTGTAGTGGCAGAGGTCTCCAATTTCAGTGCCACAAAAGGGAAAAATCTCTTCACTCTTGTATCTGCAGAGATAAGCAGTGAGTGAAAGTGTGAGGAGCATAACCAGAGGAGGAGAGGCTGCTGTGCAGCCTGAGGACACAAAAAGCTGTGCTTTCATCCCAGAGATAACCTCCCTTAGCTGAGGAGTGAGGGCAGCACACCAGGCAATGCAGAAACCCTTTTGTGCCTCAATGTGAGGCAGGAGAAGTGGGACTGATGGCCTTTGGGCTCTTGGCCTTGATCTTCACAGGACTGTGTGGCCTCTTTCAGCATCCACCATGGTGCAAGGCAGTGCAAATCTGTATTTCTGCCCTTTAGTGGGTGAATACAAAGCTAATTCAGCTTCATCAGATGTTCAAGGTTTTCCCCTTCAAAACTGGTACTCAGACATCTCAAAAGTTCAGATGCTGCTGAGAGAACCCAGGCCTGCCCTGAGTATTGAGGTCTCACCCTTTGCTCCTCAGATCCTAAGGGCTGGGGCATGGTGTGATGAGCTCTGCCCAGGGCTGAAGCAAGGCACAGTGACACAGTCCTGGCTCCTTGTCCCAGTGTTTGCACAGCCTCATGGCTGGGAGCACTCCAGAGCAGGCAGGAGCCAGCTGGTGAGCTCAGTGCCACTCCACAACCAGGGCACAGCCATGCCACAGCAGCGTGCCAGGGCAGGCAGGCTCTGCATGGCAGCCAAGGCAGCAGATGGCCCTGCTGAGCAGGCAGGGCAGCACAGGGCTGCAGCACCAGTGGCAGTACAGGAGCTGTCAGTTTGGGCATACCCATCTGCCCTAGAACAATCCCTGTCCAGTTCCCCAGGCAGGGTGTCTGGTGCTGTGCCAGCCCCCTGGAAGGGGAGCATGGAAGATGCTCTGACATTCCCATGGTTGCCAGGTCTCGTGCAGAGACCTGTGGTGGTGGGTTTGGGCTGACATGGAGCTGACACGGAGCAGGATTTGAGCACAAGGGCACACTGGCCACCTCCTCTGCACCAGTGGTGAGGCAGAATTGTTAACCCAGCTGGGCAGCAGGCAGAAAAGGAGCCTAGGACAGGAGCTAGAAAAGGAGCCTAGGACAGGAGCTAGAAAAGGACCCTAGGACAGGAGCTAGAAAAGGACCTATGTTGGCATTAATCAAGAGAAAATTCCTGGAATTCCCATGGGGACCCTCTCTTCCAGCTCCTGTGACATGACTTCTGATCTCCATAGGAGTAAATCAGAGCAGAATTTGACCAGTCCTACCCAAAGATGGTTTTTCTTGACAGGTTTCATTACAGAAAGTATTTAATGTGTTAAATCACTGAAGTCCCCAATCTCATCACAATACTGTGAGGTCAAACCACTGTCTCAGTCCCGTGGGAGGGAACAGAGACAGTCCCTGTTGTGTGACACTTGTTTAATTTTAGAGCCTCTGGGGAAGACACCAGCTCTCCTGCAGTGGGGGTAAATTTACATGGATTCCTTGCATCAGCTTTCTTCTTGGGAAGGAGAAATCTCCCAAACTTCCCACCTCTGAGGCATTTGCAGATCCTGGAGGAAGGGAGTTCCCCCTTCTGCCTGCTCTCACCCACCTTCCCCTGTCTGCTTTTATGTCCAGCCAGGAGTGAACCCTGTGTTTTTTCCTGCTTTTAAAACAGGACTTGTTGTTGAGATGAAGCCACAGGAGGGCTCATAAGATGATTTATTTTCCTCTCTAAACAAGACTCAGTCACGTCACGAGTCACAGGACCTCTCGCAATGTTACATGAAACAATGTGAGCGTTTCCAACCGAGGTTCAGCTTCCCTGGATCTCTCTGGTGTGTTTTAGTGATGCTGCTTTGCACCAGTGTTTATTCCTGGATACTACCAGTAAGAATTCGCAGCCCCAAAAGCAGGAATTACACACATCTTGCTTGGGAAACAAAAAGGAGGTAAATTGTTTGATGGGAAACAGGGGAATGATAATTAATTTGCGCAGTTCTGGGCTCAGTTCCTAAAAAGAGCGGTAATCAAAACCTACCAGCAGATGTCATCTTAAAGCCAACTAAGAGCTCCCCAAGCAGCAGGAACGAGGATATCAGGGAGATACTGTTTTTTTTTAAAGGGGATACAAAGTCGCAGGACCCTGACATGAAGGACCCCAGAGCTGACTTCACAAAACCTTGGTGAAATAAATCCCAGCAAAATATAAAGCATTGAAATTAAATTTATTTAAAAAAAAAATTCTAAAGAAAAAATCTTGCTAAAACCTTCTATTCTGAGACTCAATTCTGCTTGAATATAGAGAAAAGAGACTGATGGATTTGAGTAGTTCCATCTGCTTTGTCACTCTCTAAAATATGATGGATATAATAATATTTTTAACGGCTTAATTACCAAAGTTTGCTGCACCCTGTGTTTGAGCTGTCATTAGAATAGATGTTTGCAGGTGGTTGATATTTAACATTTGTGAGTGTGGGAAAATTTCCTGTGAAGGAAATCCAGGAAGAAATTAAGAAAACAAGACATTTTTTGCCTCCACACAAAGTACTTTTAATCCCTTACCTATGCAAAGATGATAATAGCTTTTGTAGTTGAACATATGGAGAAAATTTCACTGTAGACTCTTGATTGAAATTCTGAGACTAAATTTAATCAAGACATTGCAGAATAGAGAGATTTTAATCCAGCTGTAAGGAAAAGTCTCTGTTCAGTATTTAGAGCTGGTGCTAATGTGTCCAACGGCAAACTCCCTCAAGCACATTTTAGATCATGCTGAAAAGACTAGATGTAAAATTAATTATGAACAATAATGAGAAAACTTGTTAATAATATGGTACAGCAAAGCTGAGTGACACATTCTTGCCCAAGACTCTTTTTAGTCACAACTCCTCTGGTTTTTAACTCTTTGAGCTTTGGTAATTCTATCCATAACTGTACAGTAAATGAATTTTGTTTGTTGAAGAGTTTCAGTAAAAATAGCTCAGCCTCTGCCAAAGATGAGGTCAGGGAAAAAGTCAGCCTCTCGCCAATGTAAACCAAAACCCAATCCCCCTCACAAATGTTTAATGAGATGTTTTAGTCCTGCCGTGCTTTGGAATGGATACTTGGAATCCGGCAGTCCATCACAGCAGGAAGAAAGGTGTCTTTTTCCATACCTGCTACAGGCTGCCTACATGCGGATAAGTGATAACTTGAAAAATATCAGTTTGTATGTGAAAAATCCCAGATTTATTTCATCCTGGCAGCCGAACCCCCAGAATATGTGAGCTGGATTAAGCAGGTTCCAGGCGGGGACCGGGAGGACAGAGCCGTGTGACCGACAGGGCAGGCAGATGGGAAAAACCGGAGGAGTAAAGGCTGAAGCTGCACATCCTGGAGAGAGGAGGAGAACGGAGCAAAGGATGGGGAAACCCAGCAGGGGACGGGCAGTAAGGGGCAATGACAGCAGGGCTGCCACCATGGAGCCCAGCCGCGGCCACTGCGGGCTGTGCGAGGGTCTCAAGGAGGGGATGGGACCGCGACCGGGGACCAGGACCAGGACCAGGACCAGGACCAGGACCAGGACCAGGACAGCCAAGTACCCACCCCATTGACAGCTTCAGCCACCCTCGCTAAAAGCACACGGTGATTGGTTGTTGCACCCGCCCATCACTGGCTGTCCCGCTTTCCTACTGGCTGATTCTTTTATTTATAATCCGCCCTCAGGAGCTGGCCAATCAGAGCGAGGCGCCCGTAGCAATGCCCCCTCTTCTTCCTGCCGCTGTCTCCCGCGCGTCTCTCGGGAGTTGTTGTCGCTCCTGTGATTGGTTAGACAGCGTGTCGATCAAGCGCACACGACCAATTGGAAAGGGACTTCACGCAGACTACCTGCGAATCCCTCCGCCCGGTTTCCTTTTCCCATTGGTCGACAGGCATTGTCCATCACTCTTTGCTTGGCTTCGATTGGCTGCTAGGGAGGGGCGGCTCCCGGCCGTTTCCCGCCCCGGCGCTGTGGGCGGTGGCGCTCGCGAGGAGGAGGAGGAGGAGGCGGAGCCGGCGGTCGCGGCCCCGGGTCCCGCAGCCGGGCTCCCGCCTCACATGGAGCCCCCGCGCCGGCCGCAGCGGCGGGGCGGACCCGCGCCGGGGTGCTGAGGGGCCGCGGCTGCGGGATGCGGCCATGAAAGCCCGCGCCGCCCGCGGGCCCTGCAGGCGCCGCCGCTCAGGTAACGGCCGGCGCGGGGGCGGCGCGGGGCAGGTCCGGGCGGGTCGGCGGCGGGGAGCGGGGCCGCTCCCGGGAAGGGGCTCCCTGCCGGCACGGGGGTCTCGCCGCCCTGAGGTGAGCGGGGCGTGCCGGGGAGCAGGTGCGCGGAGCAGGTGAGGGGCGGCGGGAAAGGCGCGCTCTGCTCCGGGGGCAAGGGTCTGGCGGCGCCCGGCGCGGATCTTTGCCCGGCCGGGATCGCCTTGGAAATGTTCGCTCTGCCAAGAGGTGCGAGGGCTTGGCTCGGCTTTTACTGTTTGAGTGCAGCCCTGTAAGAATACGTGAATCACGCGTTAATGACAGGCTCGAGTGTCCGGGTGTATGTGCGAATAGGTTTGCTTTATGGCCTTCAGGTGAGACGTGCTATACAAATGTAGGTGGTCACTCTTAATGTTGTATCCCTTGGAGGGTCTGCAGGGTTTTTGCTTCAAGTACGGGGGACTTTCCACTTGTGTGTTCCTGTAAGTGGTGCTGTAACAGTTGAAAGCTACAATTTCAAGAGTAATGAATTGAATTGGAAGAGTACTGAGTTGAATTTTATTGAAACGTTTCTGTTTGCCCATCTAAAAAAAGCAACAGCTAACATTTAGGTTAGTTTATGAGAAGCCTTTGTGCTTAAATTTTTTTTTCGTCGTTGTTGTTTTATTTTTTTAATAGAGATCAGAGTTCTACCGTATTTTATTGTCTGCAAAATCAACAGACTTATAGTTCCATAGGCTTAATTAGGCAGTGGAATTTGCAACCTAAGATAAGAATTTTTATGAGAAACTCTGACGTGCCCTGTGGACTAGTCATAAACCTTTCCATTTAGTCATCATCCTTGGAAATTATTGTTGCATGCCAATAAAAATGTCATTTTCTGATTCTTGCAGTGTTCAACAGTAGACATGGCTGAGTAATTCCATTGTCCATTTTGGTTTGTGTAAAACCTTCCTGCAGAACGAGTAGTTTAAACTGAAGGCAAAGGTGTGTTCCCTATACCTGGTGGCAGGTGTGTGCTCTCCTGTGTTTTTTGCTTTGATTTGTTTTGTGGCTTTTTATTAGGAAGAACAGCTGGCAGCTGGGGCCAAGCACAAATTAGGGCCTACAGAGCAAGCCTTGCTTCAGTTCTTCATATTTTTGTGACTGTGGAAGGACAGAGTTAGTTCACAAGAGCTGCCCTGGTAGCACAGGCCTCCTGTAACTTAGTTATACCCTCTGATTCCAGATATTTGCTTTTGCCATTGTAATCCTTTATGCAAATGGTTTCATGGACTCATGAGAGAAATGCCAGGTTGAAGGAGGGGCCTGTTACTTCTGTATCTGCTGCAGAAAAGAATGAAGCTTGTGGTTCACTTGCATCATAGGTTCCCTTTCTGTATTTTTCCTGTAGCAGACACCCATGCATTTGCACAATGGCAGAGCCCTTTGCTGTGTCCTTGCAGTGTGGCATCTGCAAGCTGGCACAAAAATAAGAGCTCTGCTAGGCAAGATCAAAAAAAAAGGTCAGTGTTCATAATTTTTCCTTAGAGCCCTTTTCTGCTTATTAGTTCTCTAACATATTCATTTGGAGCTGTGTGTTCTTCAGTAAGTCCATCTAATAATCAGCAACTGTATCACAGCGGCTCCATCTGTTGTCTGTTGCCAAGTCCTCTTTCTGACTTAGATTGTAAGCTTCTTTTCATATGATCCTGTCACTTTTTGTTAAGTTGAACACATTGCTGGTAGGGGCTAAACCACTTTCTGGTGTGATTGTGCTGTTGGTTGCACTGGAGAAATGGAGCAGCTTTTGCAGCCAGCAGTGGAGCTGGTTGAAATAACTTTGCTTTTGATGGCTGACCTGGTGCACTCCAGGTCCAGGGCTCTCATACTATGAGTTATGTGTTTTCCATTGCACAGGAGCTTCACATTGGTGTGTAAATACCAGCAGACATCAGTGTCTGCAGTACCTTGAGAACAACGGGTTTGGGAAGCCCTGTTCTCACTTGAGAAAGTCATGAATTATTGAAGAGCAAGTTACTGTTCCATTTGTGCAGTAAACAAGGTACTCGGTGTTTCACTGTAAGGTGCAGCCAGTGACACAGCCCTGTGCTTAGTGAGGGTAGCCTACAGAATGTCTTCAGTATTTGTGGAGATGATACTTTAAGCTGGAAAATACAAATATTGGCTGCCTTGTGTGGGATGTATAAATATCAGATTGTGTCCAGGTATGGAATTCAGCCTGTTTACTTTGTCTTCATCCCTCTGTCAGGCATTCATGTTCTCTTCCCTTTGCTGTTCTGGATTGTCTCACTGGCTGCATTGAAACAACAAAAGTTGTTTCCAGCCTCGTGTGAAGCCCTCAGTGCTAGCAGAGCTGTCAGCCCTCACTGCAAACCCAGCACAGAGGCTGGGGGGAAATTCCTAGATTGAGATGTTACAATGCCTGTTGGTATTAGAAGGGTTTGATTCCCTTTCTTTTTATTAAGAGCTCAGCAAATGTCAGCCTGCTGACACCTGGAAGGCATGAGCAGCTTCTCAGTGTCTCTGCTGGGCTCTGTTTTGTTAAGCAAACATAATGTATTGAAATTATCCATTTGAAGCAGCAGCTGTGTCTTGTACATGATCTACTTGAGTGCTGATTTAAGTGCAGTGGTGCTCTGTCCCCAGGCTGGAGCCTGCCTGCCCTGTGTGTGCAGTGAAACCTGGGACTGAAAGCAGGCTAGGACAGGAGTGGATTGTTGCAAGGTCCCTCATAGACCTTCAGTTTTGTATTGTAATTGGACCCTAGAAAATGCTGGTAATTACACTGTGGGCATAAGGATCAAGTAGTTTTCTGTTTGTTTGTGAGTTTTTAATATTCTCCCTCAGTTATATTTGCCTTCTAAATATGTGCTAGAAATTATGCCTATGCCTGCTGAAAATACTTTTAAACCTACAACCTTGGCCCTGAATCCTGAGCTCTGCTGTAATAGCTGGTCTCTCTTACTAATTTCAAACTTGGCTAGAGTCACAAAATAAATGAACTGTTTGTTTCAGCTTAGCCTCTCGTGGAGGTTTGTTTGCATTATAAAACCATGATGCAGTTCAGCAGACTTTCAGTTTCTGGAGTGGTGCAGCAGGGCTAATGCAGGTCTCTTCTGAGGAATGTCAGTTCTAGTTTGCAGGAAGCTCATGCTTTGACAGCACTGGCTAGAGCTGGGAATTATCCTGTGCAGGGGAGATGAAATGAAAGCAAAATGTCATGTAAGTGAAAATAGAAAGTATTGGGATTTTCATGTTCACATGCACTGTTGTAACTAAGACTGAAAATTGAACCTAAAGACTTGTCCCATAAAGTATTCAAAAAGAGTTCAGGTTCAGGGTGAGCTGGGCCAAACATAACCCAAGCTCTGGTATTTGTAGCTACCTCATCTGTAAATATTTGGTGTTGTCTTCTTCTCAAGGACAAGAAGCTAAGGCATGGACAAACCAAGGAACTTTCCTCTGTTAGAGCAGGTGACAGCAGCTGAGAACAAAATTGTTGAGTGCCTGGTTCTCTTTACCTGTTCAGTTGAAATTCTTTGGTTTCATTTTTAAGCATTCTTTCATTGCATTTATTTTTTTTCCTCCAGGCTAAGGACCTCAGTCAATTCAGTCTTTGGAAAAGTTCATTCTTTACATTTCTTTGAAGCCCTTCTGAAATTTGCACAGTACAACAGTGAAGTCTTCTTCCCCCCTGAGTTATTATTTTGTGGAGTGACACTTGCCAGCATCATTCCTTTAATTCCTTTGTTTTTGTAGTGCTGGCTGTTGAAGCTTCATCAGACTACAAGTTTAAATAGTTAACTCTTGGCAAATGACTTTTATCAAAGCTTTGGCATCTTGTTCTTCAGAAAAAAAACCTTTTCAAATGAATAACATGCTTCTGCCAGATTTATTGCTTTTCAGGCTGAGTGCCTGGTGATGGTCTCTGTGTCTAAAAATGGTTGTTGTTATTAGGGCCATCTTTTAGGAAATTGTGAGTTTGACATTTGAGTGCAAATATGCACATATTTATAAAGATACTGGGGACAGAAAACCTCTTAGCAATGAGTTGAAATGTTTTTTGGAAGGATCTTGTTTTATACTCTGAGGTATAAAAGGGATGCTGCTGAAGTTGAGGAGCCTAACCCATTTTTATATCTGTGAAATATAAAATGTTAATTGCTGCCTAATTATGCCACCTGTTAGTTTGACACGGATGTTTAGGGTGTAACTTGATGTGCTCTTGTGGGGTTTCCATCTTTAAATAATTGCAGGCTTTGGCACTGGTTTTGAAAGGTAAATCTCTAATTAACCCAATTAATGCTGATAATAGTTGTATTTATAGTAATTTCTATGATTAAACAATCAAGGCATTCATTCAGTGAAGAAACTGATTTTAATATGATATTAATATGGATTTTTTTCCTTCAAGGTGTGTTTTGGTAAGCAAAGAAATTAAAATGTAGTAGGGCATGAAATATTCTGAAATTGTGCTTTTTAGAAATGAGAAATGGCTGAATAGGGCAGATATGCATTTTGAGAGTTAAATTTCAGAATTACTTTGTTCTTGGCATTTTTCCTGAATAAGGGTGTTAGAAAAATTGTTCTGGAAGCTAAATATTTATTAGGAAATGTGTTTTCTAGTGTGTAGTGTCTTTTAACTGTCTGTTGAGCACAGCTTAAGAGTTTTTAAGCTGAACCTTAATATGAAAAAAACCACCCAACAACCTTTTAGTTGGTTACAGGATAGTGTTGGATTCTGTTCAGTGCACTTTAATTAACCATACAAGGTAGTAAATTAAAGTACCTCAGACTGACTTGACAGTCAATTAAACCTTGGTTGATTTCATTGAGAATGTGATCATTAGTGTAATTGGCCAAAATGACAGGAGGCCCACTTGGAATTGTGCCCACTTGAAATTTTCCTCTAATTCTGTGTATGCAATCCTGGGCAAGATAATGGAGCTGTATCCTAATATTTTCCAAGGATTTTGTGTAGCTGTCTGGAAAGGTAAACTCTAGCAGGCAAAAATGAAGGAATGGGTTACTTGGGAATCCAGATGGCAAAACCTTTTGGGGTTTTCTTTTGTGTGAAATACAGTGAATTGCTTCTCTCATTGTGGAATTTGTACGGAGTTTTGCAAAGTTCACCATGTGATTTCAATCAAAAGGATGTGTATGTGTGAGGGAGATTTTTTTCCTTTGTTAAATAGATGTAGAAATTGTGTTGAGGCCATCTTTTGTTAATGGTGTCTGGACACTTAGGAGATTTAGGCTCCTCTTGTTTAATACTCATCTAACTTGGTCTGTCTTCCTCTAGTTAAAACAACAGCAGTCTTTCCTATTTTATTTTTTGGATCTTGCTTTGCCTGAGAGCTTCTAGTCTTTAGTTTGCTGGGTTGCAGTGTAGATGTGTTTTCTCACAGGATTTGTTCTGGGCTTCTGCACTTTCTGTGGGGTGGTGATCCTGTGGTATCCTGGGGTGCTGGGTTGTCAGGCTGTGCATTTCTGGGGGCAAATGCTTGCCTCCTTCCATGGAAACTGTCTGGTGCATGTGGGTGCTACTCTGATGAAAAGAAGTTCTAAAAACTTGTTCCTTCAATTACTGTAGGTTTTCTGGTCAGTCTTCAAAGATGGCATCTTCTGATCCAAAAAATTGTTATTACCATGGTTTCCTCTGTCTGTTCTCCTTCCATAGACAGTTCTTTCTTTATCTCTGTGAAAAGTAACCAAAATATAGCTTGTCCTTTTCAGATCAAAAGGAATTATTTAAGTGGGCCTTGGAAACTCCCAGGCATCTTGTCTGTAGCTGAGGAGATTCTCTGGGCTATTTTTCTCAGGCTTTATCTTCCTGTGGTGCTTCTGTGCCTTTTCCAGACCCTCAAGGCTCCTGGGTCAAGAATACAAGATCACAAACTGGGTCCTGCTCTGCTGTGTGCCAGTTGGCCACTGGAATCTGAAAAGGGCAGGAAGGTTAGGCATGTGGGAGTCTGCATAAAAAATTCTGTAGGGAAACCATGATGTGGGATTTGAGAGAGATTAAATTTTCATATTGATGCCTTGGTGAGAGTCCCTTATACCCACTGACATCCATTTAGAGAGGTGTTAAGATGTTTGAAATAAACACCCTTCTTTTTTGGAGCGGATGAATTGCAGCCAGTCCAGCAGAGCTGATTTCTGTCAGCAGGGGAGGGAGGGCTCTGTGTGAGCCTGATGTGCTGGCACCGAGCATCCCTGAAAGAGACACTGCCTGCAAAACATGGCTGTGGCAGCACTCTGTGTTTGCACAGGACAGCTGCTGTGCCTCTGTTGCTGAGATGCTTTTCAAACACACTGCATTGTTCATCTTTGTAAATAGAAGTGTAATTGCCTGCTCTGTGGTTATTTTGCCCACCTTTTTAAAAATTATTTTATTGTTTCCTTCCCTTCTCTCTAGTTTTTCATTCACCCTTGAGGAAAAAAAAGTAGCCTCTTTGTGACTGCTCACTTTGTTCAGGCTTTGTAGGTGTCACCAAATTGCTGTAAATGAACAGTGAAGTTTGGAGTAGATGAATAACTGCCTAAGTCTAAGGTTTAAAGAAAAAAAAATTAAAATACCTGTGTTTTATAATTAAAGTTTTAAAATACCAGTATTAAAATACCTGTCAAGTTTGCCAGTCCAAGCTGAATTTGATGGGCTCCAGAGTCATCCTGATTACTTCATCATCCTCTTAAAAAGAGAAAAAATTTAGTCCCCCTCCTTTTTTCCCCCTTTTCTCCTACTTGGCAAATGTAGCTTGTTTCCTGTGTTTTCAGTTGAACTGAAATTAATATAGCTTTAAAAAATATCTTTGTGAGGAAAATTTGTCTGGCAGATTGTTATAAGGATACTTTGAAGCAGGATTGTTGATTTTTTTTTTTTTATTAATTTGGGAGCTAGGTGTTCAGTGGGTATAACTTTGTGTTCCTACCAGGTAAGGAATTGATCTTGGAACTCATAGCTCACAAATGGAAGCTTTAAAAACAAGCTTTTGATGCTTTAAGTGAATAACTTTGCTTATGTTGATTGAAAATATTTAAAATGGTTTTTTATAGTTGGAGATCCCTTGGTCACTGGGGGATCAAGGGATCTGAAAGTGAAATAGTTTCTTGCTGTAGCAGTAGATTGGTCACCAGCTACAACTGAAGTAGAATAAAATGTTACATTTTTGGGGTTTCCTCTGGCTCTTTTGCTTGCTGTAGCAACCAGAATTGAAGTAAAAAAGAAAGGGTTGGGGGCAAGGAATGGAAGTTGTTTGTTGCCAGGTAAATTTTGAGTTCCAAGCCTATTTGTCTCAGAATAGTCAGAGCATAGGGTATTTCCATGTATCTAAAGGAAAAGTTCATTAGGTTTCTGTTTTTATTGTTAATGTGTGGTGGTTTGTTTTATTTCTTTGCTTTTTGTGCCCCTGCTTGGATAGCTTTTTTCTTTTCTTACTCTCTTAAATGGATGAAAGCTTTATTGGAGTCCTGTCAAACTTACTAGATACCTTCACTATAATGGTCATCTCTATTTTTTTGTATTTTAGGATCCAACAAGAGTAGAGAAGACAGCACATTACCTAAGATGTGAGAAGTCCTCCCACAGTGAAATAAAATCTTGTTTTCAAAATGGACCGAAGTAAGCGGAATTCAATAGCAGGATTTCCACCACGCCTGGAGCGCGCTGAGGACTTTGACAGCAGCACTGGAGAAGGGACTGCATCCCAGCTGGGCAGAGTTTGTACCTCTTCTTACAGAGCCCTGATAAGTGCCTTTTCCAGACTTACTCGTCTTGATGATTTCACATGTGAGAAAATTGGCTCTGGTTTCTTCTCTGAGGTGTTCAAGGTGTGTGTTTGGTTTTTTTTTTCCTCTCAGTGTTGGTTGCTTCATGTTTGATGATGAGAATGTGCAAAGTGCTTTCCACTGAAGTCAAATGGTAGTCTTTGTATTTGCTTCACTCAAAATGGGTCAGTGATGAAGAACTTTCAGGCTCCAAATATTTCTTCAATCACTCTTTCAGCTGGTTTTTTTTGTCACTTATAATTTATTTGAGGAGTTGCAGAGCTTTTTGGGAGAAAGAGAAAAAGCTAAAAATAATTGCTTTATTTTTTGACCTCTCCCATGTCTTTTTGCATTCATGTAGTGTTAAACATGGCTGTTGATTCTCCCATATGTAAGTGTAAATGTCTTTAATTTAGCTGGTTTCTGGGTTTTGTGGGGTAGTACACATTCCTTTGGTAGTCTTTGCCTCACAACACTTAGATGCATGTGTTAAGGAGTTCCATACGTGGTTGCTGAATTTGGAACCACAGATTTTATTGCACTGAGATTACATTACAATAAACTGCTCTTCTCTGTTTCCTTTGCTGCTTATGCCACACTTCTAGCTCAAATAATCAGAGATTGGTTTGAAGGAAATAATATGAATAAGAAAATCTGATGTTGTCAGTGGCTTGCTGCTATGTGGGACATGGAAAAGACCTTTTCAAAGCAATTTGACAAATGCAGTTTTATAGTGCTGTTAGTGTTTCTGCTTCTCTGACTGTTCTGGTAAGGTTTATTGTAGAGGAACAGGACGTGGAGTTGTCTTTCAGGCATTGAAAAAAATAGTCTATTTCCTTGTTCTAGTTCCTGACTTTGCGTGGAGATACCCTCCACTCAGTTTTCTGGCATTTCACTGAAATGGAAACAATCTTACAGTGTATTATGTCCATTTCATGACAATTCATCTGTTTTTTTTTAATTGAAGTTAAACCAAAAAACTTTTTATCCAGTTTTATTGCTGTAAATAGATACCTGCATTAGAAAATGGAAATTATTTTGATATTGCTTTAATACCCAAAGGCATTGAGATTTCCAGGTGTATATTTCCTGTTGTGTAAAGGCGAGTCACTCCATGGAAGTTTTTCTGTTCAGCTAGATATATGAAATTTTAGTTTTCACTAACACAGGTTTTTAATTCTTTCAAATGGCTAGACATGAAGAACTTTATTCAGGGTGTGTAGGAGACTTGGTGCAGGACATTTCTTCATAAAGCCAGCTTTTGTAACAGTTGAAAACAAGGGTTTGTTTGGTGTTTTTTGTTTGGTTGTCTTTTTCCTTATTTCCCTGTCTGGAAAACTTTCTGAATGTTAAATGCTTTAAAGTTCTGCATGTTACTGGAATTCATCATTACAGTTTTTCTGGTGAAGCTGCTGTGCCATATATAGAGGTACCAATAGGCTTGGGTCGTGTCTAAATAACTAGGAAATAACAGACCTCGGTTTACTTGAGAGAATTTCAGAATTCAGGTGGAGGGGAAAAGGTAGCTAAAAGTAAAGATGAATTTCCAGCATTCATGGTAATTGATTAATTTGAGAATTTGTTGACTGAGAGAAATCCCTGATACCCAGTTTATTTTTATGTACATTAACAAGTCCTCTAATTCTTTAAAAACCTTCCCCTGCTATTCTCCTTTGCAGTGAGCTAAAGCAGACATCCAAGGAGCTGGATTGAGTTGGTGGCATTACTGTGGGAGCTGTGGTGGTAGCCTGAGTATCTGGTGTCTGTTTTCACAGAAACAACCCCAGTCCCCCTGCAGGCAGAGACTGACTGATAAACTCTTTTCTTTTGCATCAGTTTCGACCAGAGCTCTGCAGTTCTGGCACCAAGGGGTGAGGATGCATTACAACTTTATCACAGATGCAGTTCCAAAGTCGTTTAAACAGGTTTCTGTTCTGCTGCTTTATCAGCCTGACCACCTCTGTCATTAATCCTGCTGTGCTGATGATCAGATTTCATGTGAGAACCTTGATGTGCTTCCAGTAAAGAGAGCCTCGTGGCTTGCCACAGTTAAATTTCACCCTGATCTGCAGGCTCACAGCTAAATGATTGAAGCTGAGCAAAATCCAGGATAGTTCTAAACTTACTGTGTAAGTAATTTTACAGGAGCAATGAAGCCTTCCCTTTAAATGATCAAAGGTGTCTCAAAACCCAGCACATCTCAGAGCTTTTTCAATCATGTGCTTGTCCATTGTTTTGTGTCATACATTGGGCTCACTCAAGCGATTTAGCAAAGAATGCTTGGACTATTTTAAGGGTTTGAGATTTTTGTTTTGCTATGTAGTTGACAAATGTTTTTCAGTGATTTCTTCCCCTCTATCCTTTTCTGTGGAAACTTTTTATAGTACAGTCTGTTGTGAGGGTTAGAAGTTGCCTTCTCTTAACTTGTGAATAAGAGTATGTTACAGCTCGGATGTGTATGTTAATGGTCATATATGCTATAAATGATCTTTTAACATTTCTAGTGCACCTTTATTCACAAACATATTAAATTCAGAGTATTAAACTGGTGTTTTGATTTTGTTAGCCATTACTATAACGCTTTGAGTTCATGTTCAACTGAATACCAGATATTATGGAAACTAGTTTAAAAAACCTGAACTTTGCCAAAATATCAGCAATCTAGTTTGAAGCAGCTGACTGACTAGTACCTGTTCTAAATTTCAATGGCACGTGCAGCTGAGGTTTGCTTTTAAGATCAAGCTGGGCAGAGACTGTTTGTATAAATGAACATCCATGATCCCAAACCCTTAAACTGTTGGGAAAACCAGGTGATGAAACTGTAAGGAATTGTGGGGGAATCCAAGCATTATACTGAAATGAAGTATTGCATTAGGAAATAGTTACTATTAATTATAAAATGTGTGTTTGGAACAGCAGTCAGACTAAAATCCAGGATGATCTTCTATTCACATTTAACTTCAGGTTCAGTACTAAGTATTCCAGTTGCTGTGAATTTCCTTCAGGTGTTCTTTTTGTCTCTGCATTCTGTAGCTGAACTTTTGAGAGAGACTGGAAATACTTGTGACATTTCAGTGTTAAAAATGGACTTTTTGCAGTTTATCATTTGTGTGCACATGAAAACAGGAGTCATTGATCCAATACAGAATTTTACAAGGCCGAGTATTAATACAAAGAAAAGGCATCTTACTTTTGGATGTCTTAAGATGGGTGGTGGGTGCAAAAGGATCAGTAGCCTCAAGGTGTTTGTGCTGTATGTGCTTGTACTGTGAGGCCTCCTATTTGAATACCCTGGGATGATGTTCCCCAATTCATTAATTAGTTGTTAGTCTTTATTTGTGTGGTCAAATTAATGTTCTCTGACTTTGGAAAGCGCTGGCTGATCAGGAAAGGTGTCCCTGTCCAAATACGTACCTTGTACCTGAGGCTGGGATCCTGTTTCCAGTATCTATTTAATGTCTTCAGGGTGTTTAGAGATAAGCAGCATCCAACTGTCTAATGTGAAAGGAGAAACGAGGCTGGGCTGTGCTCACAGGTGTTCTGAAGAGCACATATATAATTCTTTTTATCAAGTACTTGTAATGCCCTGAGGATAAACTGGTAGTTCTGTCACCTCTAAACATACAAATAATAAATGATGCTAGATAGTGTATAATTTATGGTATTGTGTGTCATGGGCACATTGTCATGGTGGTGGGCTTGATCTCTGGAACATCTTGTTCTAGGCTGTGGGAGGTTTAAGAGATATTACTGATCTGGCTTTCCCAAAGTGACTCAATGGAAAGTTTTTTTTTTTGTACTTTATGACTTCATTACCATTCAGATTAACATTTCTCTCTGTGTTTGTCTGTAATTTTGCAGGCCTTGAGGAGTCAAGTGCAGAAATGTTTAATGTCACTTTCTTCTGTTGCCTCTGACCTAGGTTTGACAGGGCTTAACTAGAATAACAGTGCAGAGTAGGAACAGAGCAGTAGAGTAAGTGAGGGATTAACTCATGAGATTTAAAACCCCAAAGTTGTGAGAGCTCTCTTGACCAAAAAAAAAAGAGTATCTGTCTTGGTGGGCATGAATATCTGTATCATGTTATACTTTGCCTATAATGTCTTATAGTTGAACTCTGTCTAAAAATAAAGGCATTTTAAACTTCTCAAACAGTTAGGGCTTGGAAGAGTTACTGGATCATCTGCACACACTGCACATCTCCTGAGGTCTTTGAATTTTACCAGTAACTGGAATTTTTGTCTAGAGCATATATTGACACCACATACAGCACAGATGTACCTCCCTTCCTGGTTTTTAAATTCAGTTCTGAATTGGAGATCTCAAAGACAATACCATGCCCTAGTTTTCTCAACAATGGCATGTAAAAACCATCCTCCAGCTTTGTGTTACACTCTTAAAATGCACATCACTTGTTGCTGTCATGGCACATTAGTACCTTATATTTAATGGGTGTGGACCTCCTGTTCTGTAGCCTTAGTCCTTGTTTGCAATGAAGGTTTGCATTTGAGTATGTTGGATTTTGCTCAGATAGATTTAAGATATGAAGTGGCCTTCACTAGTTAATGAAATAACACAAACAGGGTAATGGTCCAAATGTAAAAGTTTTGGATTTTTCCAAAGTGGCAGCTGGAAGTGGCAGCTTCCATCAGGAGGAAGGCAATGCAGAAGGTTGAGGTGGAGCAGACCTGGCTTGGTTCTTGAAGAGACTCCTCTGTCTTACCCTGCTTTGTCGTGTCCAGGTGTATCTTCAGCTGGCCCTGGGAGTCTGTAACATGCTGTAGTCAGTTGTGGCACAGAGGCTGATACCTTACAGAAGTCTATATATATTGCTATTGCAAAACATGTATATATTTTACTTAATCAATTTTATTACCTAAATTGAAAATTAATGTAAATCTAGGCAGGGATGTTATGGGAGTTACTACAGTATCCTTAGCTAAGCCAGGCAAAAGTATTTCTGCTCTGTTCTTGGCAGCTACTTTTGGCTTGTCCTTTAAACTTCCATCATAAAAGATTCTGCAGCCTCCTTTGGTGTATCCAGGCTGTAATTTATTATTTTT